CAAAGTGTTTCATCTTCTTCTTTGGGGTAGATGTTAACATAAAACATGTGAGTTAAATTTGATGATCAATTTCTTTCATTCGAAATTGAGTCATTGAACTTCTCAATTTAATTTAAAGAGATGAAACCAAGACCTTAGTAACTGGAATTATCAATGGAAGGCTCGACCATTACTTTTAGCTGTCATTAAAAGATCTATATAGTTATCAGTTTCAACTCATTTGAACTAGACTTGTTCGTCAACTTTCGACTGAACTATTATAAGAGTATGGGTGTATGTGTTAGAATTCAACTCACAATCACATCCATACCTCTTCAACTTTCAAGTTTAACATATGATTTATCAATAACTTTACTGATTGTACAACATGGGACTTACGATTAGAAATTCTGTATGACTAACAAACTAATTACTCATATAAGAAATCTCTATAATTGATGAATGAATAACTAAATGTATGAACTAGTCAGTGTTTATATTTCTTTTATTTACCTATCATTTCCAATAAATTGTAAAGTGTTCATGAGAAGTTTTATGTATGTCTTCGTTACTTATATATATAAGATTTATAATTTTTTTCAAATTTGTCAAGTAAAACAAAGCATTGTTTATCTTGCATATATCAATAGTTTCTTAACTAAAAAGTCTTCTTTTCTCGCTCATCTGCTATTTATTGATCAATAGTATTGGAAAAAAATGGTAACTTGTTCAATAATAATATCTGGTCGAAAAAAATTTGTTTAGCAAAACAAACAAAAACTATTTAAAACTTACCTAATAAACTGTCGATAGTTTGTCTCTATGATCAACGAGTTGATTTATAACTAGATTGATCTAATTCAATTCGATGTAGATCAGCTTTTCGTCTAGATTTCATCTTCATTCAGAAGGACTGGTTTACAACTACGAGCTGATTTTCGAAGGACCACCGCTCCCTTGACTCTCCTATTGAATAAAGTGCTAATCTTGAGCGAATATTATTAACACATAAATGGCTCATAATAACTCATCTTATCAAAAATTAAAGCAGATTTTAATCTTATGAAATGAAAACAATGAACTTTGAAAAATACTTCATTAGTTATTAGAATACCCGGTCAAAATAATTAACTTCATCTTCATCAATAAGGTTGACTAGAAAAATCAATAACATCCAATAAGTTCAATTTAAAAATGTGCAAATGAATAAATGTACATTCCATTATATTATCTAATTTCATTTCATTTTTACTTTTGATAAAAACTTTCTATTAATAGATCTAATAGTTAAATATGGTATGTAAATGTGTCATAGTAAATAATGAATCTTTGTTTCTGACTCAATCAGAGATGGAACCGGTTCGGTTAGAGATTTTTTCGATTCGGTTCGGTTCGGTTAGATAGAATCGAGATAATCTTTCAATTTAAGTTTGAACGGACATTTTTAGTAAGACAGCCAAAAAAAATATAATCGTACAACGATTATCTGTTGCTTGTAACTCATATTTTCTCACATATTTTTTTAAACTTGTTTTGGAAGGTAAGGATGTTTTAATAGAGTTAGGAGATCAAATAAATAATCTTTACTCTTTTTTTTCTCTCAATGTTAATTACTGTTAGCTGCTATTGTTTGATTTGGTGTTGCGTATATATAAATCACTAAAATCCTTATCAGTTTAAGATAAACTTCGCTTTCTCTAAGCTCGTTTCCATAAGATAGTCTTAAAAATTCAGTTGACTAAGTAGAGACTTTTTCGGTTCGGTTCAGTTTGGTTGGACCATAATGGTAACCGATCTCATCTCTGAACTCAATGTTAGTTATGAAGATAAGAAAAGAAAGATTTTGATTCAACGGACATAAAATTCAAAAAGAAGCATCAGGATATATGAAAATCAGTCATGAAACAAGGACGACAAGTATGCAATTATGAAATATCTCACTATGATTGTATCCCGAATATTCACCACTATGTCGCAGGCATTTTTTCTATTGAAATTTAATCTAGATTCACATATTAATAATGGATAATAATGATAATCAGATATGTCACGTATTAAATATGCCAGTTTTGTTGACTTCCTACGTTTACTTCACGATCATGATCAGTTAATCATTTACTCTGATTTATTATTGGCACACACATTCAAAGTAGTATTTTGTAAGAGTTGAAGATAGAAGGAAGGAAAATTAAAAAATATCATGAAGAATATAATTTAATAAGCAGATTAGTCGCTGTTCTATCACTTGACTAGAATCGGAGAAAAACAGTCAACAAACCGTCGGTAGTTTGATTTTTAAACACTTGGCTATCATCTTATCGCTATTCTACACCGGCACAACACATGAAACATTTAGAACGGCTCATTTTCACATATTTAATTGCTCTAGCTTCAACATTTCATATAGGATACAAAATAAGACAACCATTTAACGCCAACGTGTAACAGAAATTTTCTCTCTCACACGTTTAATTAGTATACATCAACATTTTTTCGCAGCACAGAAAATACGCAACAATTTAGCTTCATGAACTTCAAAATAGACAGTATAATTAATCACACACTTTTGCACTTATCTATCTTCTTATAATATCATGGCATCAGGACATAAAAGTTAAAAGTACAACTCTTTTACGAACCAGAAAAAAAAATCAATTAGTCACTGTAAAAATTCTTACGCATTACAAGCTACATGAAGCCATTAAAATGACATAGCTTACGACATAGAGAAGATTTGAGTCTAGGCCTAAACAATATTTAGAACGATTTCCTTTCCTACTTTATACTCCGTCAACGTCCTTATTTGATACAGCAATTCAAAAGACGAGATGAGAAAACAATTTAGCGTCAAGTAACATCAACAGAAATATATATGCAAGCCAGAATCAAATTTCGGAGTCAAAAGTTTGACTTATCATGGCTTCAATCACAACACACATACTATACAACAAGCAATTCATTTTCATGCTTTTCGATTGTTTATTACAGCAGCTCAATTAAATTTAAAAAGACGAAGAATACTTCCGGTATCACAATATAAAAAACAAACAACTATGGAAAACAGTGCATTTCGAACAATTTCAATCTTCTCATGGTGGTTCTTCGCATATTGCCAAAAAGTTCTACATTTCACTCTATCCGTGTAACTGTTCTAGTCAACACAAAATTAGAAAATTTCTGTCTGCTTATGATAATTAAAGAAAAAAGTTCTTTTTACATCTTCCTCTGTATATTATCATTCTTAGCAGATGATCAATTAGTTTTTATCGTTAATTATGCTCATTTGTGAATATTTGACTTTGACAAAGTCTTAGTTCTTAAAAGCAGTAAGTTTGATTGAATAGAGATGGTGATGACAGACAAGAAACAGACCATTATTGCTTGACTGATCGCATTGTCAAAGATATAAACGTACTGTTTTATGATAAACAATTTTCATTTGTTAACACTGATATACTACCAGGTTAATTATTGTTGACACCAGCTTGTTTCTTTCGTTTTTTAAGCGGAAACGAATATAATTGAGGTGAAGAAAGATGGAATAACTTGAGAAGAAATGACATATAGCATACTGTTGTAAAAAAGGAAAGTGTGGCGAAACATTCATACGGTTGATCCAATCCCAGATACTTTTTAGTACATTTTGCTGATGTTCTGTCATATTGTTTTTCTGTCGGTATTGCAACAGCTTAATACTACAACAATTCCACACTGTTCTGTCTATTAACTCGTGTCTCTTCATTCACTAATTGTTTCAAGCAGTATTTGTTACAATCCGTCTCTGTTAACTTAAAATGACTCGATAATCATAATTGTTACTAATCTTCTTCACAGTTGGGTACATCGTATTTTCAAATGATGATCTATGATGCTCAGTTGTTATTATTTCTGACAAAGTTATACGTCGAAATTAGTGAAGTATGTTTGATTATCATAGATGCCATGTAACGAAAAGCTAAAGAAATAGCTTACTGCTACTTTTGACAGTGATGTTTATTGAGCTATTTCGTATCTTCAGAATTTATCTATTGCACATTAAGCGCAAGCATATACAGGAGAGAGATAAAAACAGGAAAGAACGATAGAGAGAATGAGAAAGGAAGGTACAACGAAAGAGAAAGTGAGAGTGATATCAATATATGGGCACGATAACTGATACTTTCCGTATAAATTCAAGCTAATTTCGATCTATTTATGTTCATGACAATCACAAAAAAAGAACATCAACCAGTCGAATTTGAAATTCGAAAGTTTTCTAATGCACTTAGAACACTATTAAAAATAGTAGATGCCGTTAATAATCGATAATCGAGCTGTTCTGTTCAATCCACTATCGAGGCGAATAATTGATCACCCAAAAAAAAAAACGGGGAAAAATTGTTCATCGTATCAATTCAAATCAAATGCCTTTTTCATCCACATCGTCTTCGTGTTCAGTCAAACTCATTCGAAACTGTATTCCATCATTGCATCTATTTTCAACTTCTTCTCAACAACCGACAGCAATAAGATATAATATATGGCCAATAGATCTTATTGAAACTATATGTATCGAAGCATTTGGTCTCACAGCACATACAGAACCCGAATCAAAATGGGTGGTTATAAAGTAAATTTTACGTTATTTCATTTTTTTTGTCAAATAAACCTTCGATATATTTAGTAATGAGAAATCACAATAATTCTTCAAACAACAATAATAAACAATTAGATTTTGTATTATACGAATAAAACCAAAAAAAGATCATTGATGTTAATATTAAAAAGTTTTGTTTTGATTTAGATACATTTTGTTATTTAGGTTTTCCGTTTCTATGTATAGTTATTACAAAGCATTGTTTCTGAAAACATGCTATGAATTCAAGAATAACAAAGAATTCAATCAACTGACACATTCTACTATGATGACATGGTTTACTTTTTGTTTATATTTAGCTATTTTTGTTTATCTCTACATGAAACATTTGGATGTATATTTATTTCAAGTACACATATGACTTTCTTTTTTGTTATTTATAGATATGTTTTTTGACCGTGAAACAACAGTCGTTATTACTAAATTCAATAATTTATCTGAATCAGTCTTAACTACTTATTGTAAACATTTTGGTAGTGTTATTCGATGTTTAATTAAAACTTCTACTCGATCTCGAAATAAAGATCCTTGTAAGTAGATCTTTGTGATATATGCTCTGAATTATCACAATGAATATAATTGTCACAGTCAGATTCAAATAGTTCGAATTTCGGTTATAGCTTTTATAATATGTGCTTATCAAGATTATTTATAGAAAAATGCAGATAAGTATATTAGCTTAGTCAATATTTCTAGGAGAAAATTTTTGTTAGTACTAGTACGCTGCTTAATTACGACCCATTGAAGGCTTAGTTTTATTGTACTGCTTGATAATAATGTTGATTAAACTAGTTCATTTCTCTAGTTGTGTCCATGTCTTTACGCCCAAAAGAGAAAAAATAACACAAGAAAATCATAATGATCATTTATTGTTAGATTATTGTTATTGATTTCAATCCAGCTAAAGCATTTTTCGTTGTAGAAATGAAACCATTCTATAGATTATTTCATAACATTTTCGAATCTATCAATTGAGCTAAAAATAATTTGATAGTTTGACAAATTTCTTCAAAAGTTTAAAGATGAAGATTTTCTAATCAGAAACTATGTATTCTCATTTTAGATGCTCTAATTAAATTTGCTAAAGCATCAAGTGTTACTTCTATTCTTAATCATCGTAATCATACTATCAATGGTGCACATATTGTCATGCGAAGTTATCATCAAGATACAAGTAATTCTGATCCAACGCAAGCACTACCAAGCTTAATGTCATTAGCACAACAAAATCCAATTACATCTAATCATAATAATAATAATGACCCACAACAAACGAAATATGATCAAATAATGCAAGAAAATTATGCACTTAAATGTCAAATAGGAAATCTTCAAACGCTATTATTTGAGGCACACGTATATTCTGAAACTGCCTATAATACATTTCAAATGTTACGAGAAAAATTCGGTAATAAACAAGTCTCTTTAATTGCCTAATTAATTATTTCAATTTTTCTTTCTTTTTTGAAGATGAAGAACAAGATCTTGCAAATAAACTGAAATCAGAAAATGCAGCTATGGTTGAATCACATGAAGCTCTATTAAAACAATTATCATCATCATCGGTATCACCTTCGATAAAAATAATAGTAAAAGATAAAATAAAAGAAGAACCAATTGATAGTAATTCTCAAGTAAAACACTCAGTAAATAATTCACTTGAAATGCGAATAATAAAAGAACATTTAGAACAAGCACAAATTGATTTAGGTATTTTTTTTATAAACAAAAACAAGTGATTCTTTGTTTCTAATTGAAAATTTTATTCATAGGTAGATGTCAGGCTGAAAATGCTTTACTTAATGCTAAATTAATAGTACGTGAACAACAATTTGATATACGTTTTAAGGAATTAAATAATCAATATATACGTATAAAAAAACAATATGAACATCTATCATTATGTATTAAAGATTTTCATGCAAAAGTATATCCAAATCAACAATTAAAACCTGAATCAAAAGAAGAAAATAATAATAAAACTAATGATTCAAATGAAGACGTAGTGGAAATAACTATGCAAGTAGAACCGATATTATCACAGATTTAATATATTTGTTTCTTGTATATTTTGTTATTTTTGATATGTTTCTGTTCCATGTTCTTTTTCGTTGTCCTGGTTTGACCGTTTGCTCTTGTAGTTTGAAATGCGTATATATATATATTATGTTTATTTTATACGAGTATAACTAACTAACATTATGTTTATTTATTGGTTTTTGATGAATTTGTATTGTTCGTAATAATTTAAAATAATTTAAGGGTTTTATTCAATAGAGTTCATGAAAAAACTTAGTGTTGCTTATAGAATAAAATATCAAAAATGAAAATTCTCATTGGTTATAAGCTCATATATCGCTTGTTTCGTTGATTTTTTAAAACGGATGGACTATAGACGTATCTATCGACAGTTTCTTGTCAATAAATCAAAATGAAGTTGTTAACTACTTAAGTAATTTCACCGTTTACGAAACAAATACTGACGATTAACAGTAGTCATTTGACATTGCTAGTCAAGCACAAATTATTCTGTAGGAGACGAAGCTCTATGCTGACAAAAACAACTCTTAGAATTAGGATGAAATCAATAATATCCTTGATCCAATGATTATTTTTTAAGGCGATTTGAATAAATTGAATACATATGTGTGAGGAATATTTGCATTCAATTTATCTTGAGAATGAAGCTAGAGTACAGCACGAGTATCTGGTCCGTAGGTTGTATTATAGTCACACATTACTAATAGTTTTCATAGGACCATAAATCAACTATGTGGTCAGGTATATTTTTATTAAACAACAGCCTTTAAAAATAGTTGCTTAACTTTTTTATGAATTTTATTGTTAAAAATGAAATTTGTGTATTTACAAAATCGTTACGTTTCACACTCGTACCCTATTCGTACGTGACCCACCGATTATAGTACTCAAGATGGAGTCGACTACTTTCTCATCTTATGACTGACGAATGAATTGTTTCAATTGATTGATTGTTTTTTGAAACGCAAGATTTTGGAATATTGGTTATCGGTTATGCTCATATTCCGTTTCAATATGCGCGATAATTTGTAATCCAGTCGTTGCTGTTGAGAAAGTGAATGATTAGCTAGAATCGTTCTCTCGTGATGATGATCTTGAATTCTTCAATTTGTCTTAGAATTGGCAATTTTTGGATTGACTGTATACTTCCAAATATGAGACACTTTACATAAAATCAATCATGAAACTTTGGCACTAGATGTATACATGCGACGTATTATCTAGAAAATGATTATTTAATGAAGATAAAACATGTGTGTTTTTTAATTCATAGAAAATAAATAAAAAAATAAAGAGATAGTAAAACTGTTTATTCTATTCTCTAGAATCACGATTAAAGAAAAGAAAAATCGATACATAATTTACCTTTTTTTGAGCATGTCTTTCAATCTCATTTCATTTCAGTTCATACTATCTGGTATAATAAGCTTGTTAGCGCAACCTCTCTGAGGCTGAAATGTGGAACTCACATATGTTCTCAAGACTCATTAAACTAATACAAAAAACGTGAAGTGAAAAATGTCTCGTAGATTATAATTATTTTGCAGAATAACCAATTACTGAAATAAGAACCTCTCTAATTTCTGCTTTTCGAACGGGATTTTTTAATTTTTTTCTACGGACACCTTATTTTCTGTTTGAATTATTGCTGTTCGTTGATTATTTTCCCTAATTTGTTTTTCTTTATTTCACATTCTTATTATTATAATCATTGAATTAATAGGCAAATAAGTCTGTTTTACTTATCCATAATATCCACAACAGATCTTACCGCACCATTATATATATACATTGATCGACTTACAAACACTGATGTTGATTATTTTTCAAAATTATAAATTGATCCATTTTGAAAAAAACTCTAGAAAGTCTAATGCCTGTTATTCTCGGTTGCTAAAGTCTGTAATGAAGTGGAAGCCGAAAAACTTCGATTTAAAACTTACACTCACTGTTTTCTTCGAAAACATATGTGAGTTCCACAAAATATACTGGTGAAATAGCACTATGAAAGTGAACATAGTCCGTGTTAATTAATTATCTTGAAAGTCTCTTTTCAAAAAATATTTACTTGTATAAAATATTAGATTTTGTAAAAACAGGAATCCAATTAGTTACAGAATTGTTCATGCCTCGTCGCTGCTAACGAAATTGCTAATATGACATTGTCTCTTATCTTTCAATGTTCAAATGTCTGCACTAATTGTAGTGAAAATATGACAAGTATTTAGTTTTTATTTAAATGACGAAATAATGATAATCAGAATATATGTGCATGAGGAAAATAATCTTTTAAATGTTCAGGAAATCTTGATCTGTTATAAGACAATACAAAACTTATTTTTGCGCAATTACTTCGAATTGTATTTCTTCTGAAATTGCGTGTCACTTTTTTCACTAATCGATAATTCAAATGAATACAAACATCATTTGGTAAACATGTTTTGGTATCAAATAAAAACTGTTGATGATAATCTTTGTGAGCTTAACTAAGCTTAAGTTGAATAA